ACCCTGGCACAAACCTATTGGTTAAAGAAATACCTGTTTGTTATGTCACAGCCCTATACCAATATAGGGTAGCCGGATGCTCCACTCAGGGTCTCATTAGGCTGCTGTGATTGTGTCAGCCAAGCTTAGGTCACTGCTGAGGCTCAAGGCAGGACGAATGCAGGAGTGAGTGAGTCCATTCAACTGGTTTGAACTGGGAAAGTGACTCTCAGCAACTGGGTGCCCACTCTTCCTAACTCTTCTGTCATCTGCCATTTTATTGAAGGGCTTTTCAGATCCCGAAGCCCAGCCTCCAGCTGCTCCCCCTTCTCCAACTCCCAGAACCACAGCACAAGCCAAGGCAGCAGCACACAGCTACATCCCCCACTTGAAGTTTCCATGTGCTGCTGGAATAGTCTAAAGGAAAACACAAATTTAAATGCCATAAAGGCAATAGAATTGTCAAAGGAACGAGAAATCAACTAGCAAATTGTGAGATTTCACTTCTACGGTGTTTTATAACAGTACACAAATCACCAATTTTTCAACAAAACAAAGAGAACCACGGCAAAGCTATCAGCACCATCTTGTGGAAGGACCTGTATTAAACGTCCGAGGTGATGCGGCCACACCCAGGCCATCTCAGAGCCTCCATGCAGAAGGCAGCGCGCACAACAGACCAGGCGGCTTCAGCGCTTGCGCGTAGGCAGTGGTTCTGCTTGGCAGAGGCTAACTGGCTGCTTCCTGCGGCATAACCCGGTGCTCATCTCTACACGTACGAATACCGCATAAATCCCTAGACATCACACCTCACTACTCGAATTCCTTTGCACAGAATGGCTCTCCAAATATACAAAATGGGACTTATCACAACACACAGCGCCATCACAGCTGCTTCGCAGGAGACCTCTTTCTTTTTAAATTAACCTTGTTTTTTAAAAAATTTATTTTTTATATAGAAATAATCATCTTTATTAGAAAGTTAGATTTACAGAGAGAAGAGAAACAGAAAGATCTTCCATCTGCTAGTTCATTCCCCAAGTGTCCGAAGCTGAGCTGATCCGAAGAAGCCAAGAGCTTCTTCCAGGTCTCCCACGTGGGCTCAGGGTCCCAAGGCTTTGGTGTTTTCCCAGGACGCAAGCAGGGAGCTGGAAGAGAAGTGAAGCAGCTGAGACATGAGCCGGTACCCATATGGGATCCTGGTGCTTGCAAGGACGTTAGCCACTAGGCTACCATGCCAGGCCCTAAATTAACCTTGCTTTGATTGCGACTGCTTGAGGTCGTTGAAAATGGCTTCTCTTCTCTCCTGCAAACTGAGTATTTCCATTAGCCTTAGTTCACCACTGCCACATAACGGATAGCTCCAAAATGGGAGCACTTTAAACAATATTTATTTATTTATTTATTTATTAAGATTTAGTTTATTTTTATTGGAAAGACATACAGAGAGGAGGAGAGACAGAGAGGAAGATCTTCCGTCCGATGATTCACTCCCCAAGTGAGCGCAACAGCCGATGCTATTCCGGTCCGGAGCCAGGAGCCAGGAACTTCCTCTGGTTCTCCCACGTGGGTGCAGAGTCCCAAGGCTTTGGGCCATCCTCGACTGCTTTCCCAGGCTACAAGCAGGGAGCTGGATGGGAAGTGGGGCTACCAGGATTAGAACCAGCGCCCATATGGGATCCTGGCAAGTGCAGGGCAAGGAGCTTAGACAAGGTTACGGCACTGGGCCTTTAAGCAATATTTATTTTGTGAGTTTCTATAGAAAAGAACACAGGAGAGGCTTAGCTAGGTTGAGGAAATCTACAAGATTATGGTCAAGATGCCAAGCAAATACTGTTTGATAGGTTGGAGGATCCATCTCCAGAATGGCCTAATCACTTTCACAGCTGCAGCTAAGAGCTTCAGCTTCTCACGGCAGGATCAACGCACGCCCTTGCATGCTGCTCACTTCCTCCCAGGAGCTTCCCACGGGACTCTTCCTCCCAGGAGAGAAACACACACACATATACACATATATACACATACACGCATGGACACTTGGAAGCACCTACCTGCATACAAACACATGTACATGCACATACACCCATGAACACATGTACAGGTGTGTGCATATATGTACACGCATGTAGAGACACATATATGTGCACAGAACACACACACACACACCCCTCAGGCCTTTGTGACCCATTGAGAAACTCGCACACCATGACTTCCATCCCATGCTAACGGTGTGACTATAGCAGGCAGGAGATGGCTCACTGCGAGCTGTCCCAGACACGGAGCTGCACACCATCCCTTCCTTTCAGATTCGCTTTACAGATCCTTGGGTTCCAGGTGTCAGATTGGGTTCAGACACAGGAAACTCAAAACACTGAGGCCGCTGAGAAATTCTAACCGTAGTCTAAGGTCCAAGATCTGTGGAAACCCAAACCCAAGCAGTTCTTTATCTACCAGGGACACAGGACCTCCCGGCGGAAGGAGTTCTTTGAACTGAATTTACCTCTCACTGCATCAAGCCTATCAAGGAACTAACATCAAATACACACACACACACACACACACACACACACACGTATATATGTAAAATCACTGGGATAGGGCAGGTGGGGGTAGGATGGCCCAAAACTTGGTTCGATTTTTCAGTGCCCAGAGAACAGAACAGGAACCCCCCCATCTGTTGACTCTCCTTGTGATTCCAGCTCAAGCTTATCTTCCCCCCACTGACTGTTTTTGTGCTTGTTATTTTTACTGCACAATTATCTCTTTAATGTATATTATCTGATTGTCAGAATATGCCGATCACTTTGATGAGCAACTTAGTACTTCATTACATGTTCTGGGAATAATTACAACTGCGTCTAAATCCCCTCAAGTATGATGCAAATTCCTTGAAGTCAGGGAAATGACTTCAGCCTATGAGTCATCCCCTCATCAGTGTCAACAGATTGTTCTCCAGGAATCTGTCCCCAGCACACTCATCCGTACACTGTCATACACACACAGCACAGGACCACCGCTCTACAAAGAATAAGTCTTCTTTATCCCTTTTAACAAAAACAGTAACCAGCCTTGGCTGGGATCATGCCGACACAGTCATTCTTTGCTTAAAGCACAGACACATTTGGGCGTGTGTGGTGGCTCAACAGGCTAATCCTCCAGGCTTATCCTATATGAGAACCAGTTCATGTCCCAGCTGCTCTGCTTCCTACCCAGCTCCCTGCTTATGGCCTGGGAAAGTAGCAGAAGATGGCCTACAGCTTTGACACCCTGCACCCATGTGGGAGACCCAGAAGAAGCTCCTGGCTCCTGGCTTAGGATCGGCTCCAACCACTGCAGCTATTTAGGGAGTGAACCAGCAGATAGAAGATCTCTCTCTCTCTTGTAAAATCTGCCTTTCCAATAAAAGTAAATAAATACTTTTTTTTAAAAGTACAGACACATGAACAGCGCAGCTCAAAATGTTGCTGCACACACGTAATCAAAGAGAACCACAAATGCAGGGTCACCTTGTGCTCATCACAGTGCTCCCAGCAGTATATCCACACAGCCTCGCCACTGCATCCCACGTGCATCTCATCCACAGACGGGCTTTGCTGGGTGCCAAGGAGGGTGGGCAGAAGGGTGAGAAGCTTTCCCTGATGAGTAGATGGGGGAATAAAGAGGGACTGAAAGATGGCCAACCCACATGGAGCAGGAGCAGGCGTCTCCAGACACAGTAGAACCAACAATCCTGGGGCGCAATGAGAAAGAGAGGAGTGCGGGTGGGGCGACTGGTGGCTGGAAGGCTGGAGAGGAGGGTGAAATGAACTGAGACGGGCTAGAAACATGGATAGAGTCCTGTGGGAAATGAGCATGCCAGCAGGAAGCGCTTAGTCAGGGCTGTGATCCTGTGGAATGCGAGAAAAGGGCAGATCTGGCACCTCCCTGCACCCGGGAGGGCTGTTGTCAGGAAAGTGGCCAAGGCATTGTCCACAGGGTCAGAGCAGGCTTTAAGGGAAAAGAAATGCTTTTCCACTTTGCTGAAGTCAGAGGTTTAAATGGCCCAGTGTGTGCTGTGGGAGTGGGTGGGGCAGGGGGAGGGAAGTTTGTCTTCATGATGAAGTGCCCCTGTCTTGGATCACTGTGTCCCTGGCCAAGTTAACCAACGTCTCAAAGCGTCAGATCACTCACAGACAAAATGAACACAAAAACACCTCCCATTTGTGCTTCTTCCAGAAAGCACTTGGCGCGGGGCCCAACACACCAGCAAATTCAATAAGGGTTAACTATGTCCATAATTAGTTACTCTACATCCCCAGTTCAAATTCCTTAATGCCTGAATTTTCTCATCTATAAAATGGGGTTAATTAGATCTACCTCGTTATCACTATGATTGATTGAATGAATGCATGCAACATACTCAAAAGAGTATCTGGCGCATAGTAAATGCTCAGTATACATTAATTGGTTGGTTGTTATATGACCATTACTATAATTAGTACCTTGGCAAGATCTCAGGGTGCCAGAAGGCAGCCCAGAATTCTTAACAGTTCCAACAATGGGAAAAGGAGGGCAGGCCTGTGCAGTAGTGATTCCCTCTGAGAGCATTCAAAAAACTATACTGATAACAACTTGTCAGGCGCTGAAATGAGGCTTCCTCCTCGCCCATCCTCCCTGAAGATAATAAAGTTAAGGTCAGACCTTGGGGAGGCAGGGGCAGCTGGCCAGCGTTGCAGTAACACCAACGCGCCGCCAGGGAGCAGCAGAGTCTGACCCCGGGTTGCCTCGACCGCAGCAAACAATTCTTTCGTTCCTGGTTTGCTTTCTTGGCCGTTTGGGTTACGCAGCGTGGCAGCAACCCCGCCCATTACTGATGATCCAACCAATCCATGAGTGTCCCGAGAGGGCCTGGGCGGGATCGCGGAGCCGCTTTGCCACGCCCCCAGGCGGCTAGGCCAATCGCCCGCGGCGGAGCGGAACCGGGGGCGGTGCCCCTCCGACCACGTGAGGACGCCAACGCGGGTGTGGGCGCGCCCGGGCAGGGGTGGCGAGAGGGCGGCCCCTCGGTGAGCCGGTGACCCGCGGCCGCCGCCCCCCGCCATGGGCGTGCAGCCCCCCAACTTCTCGTGGGTGCTCCCGGGCCGGCTGGCGGGCCTGGCGCTGCCGCGGCTTCCCGCCCACTACCAGTTCCTGCTGGAGGTGGGCGTGCGGCACCTGGTGTCCCTGACGGAGCGCGGGCCCCCGCACGGCGACAGCTGCCCGGGCCTCACGCTGCACCGGCTGCGCATCCCCGACTTCTGCCCGCCCGCCCCCAACCAGATCGACCGCTTCGTGCAGATCGTGGACGAGGCCAACGCCCGGGGCGAGGTCAGCGGGGTGGACGGGCGGGACGGAGAGGCCCTGGCGGCTGGTGCTGCCCCTGCACCGGCCCAAAGCCCTGGACGACTCGGGAGAAGGGCAGGGGGGTCAGGCGAGGTCAGGCGCAGCACCAGGACGCTTCCAACGCTCAGAGAATGGCACTGGGTGCAGGAAATGTTGAAATCCATGCAGCGTATTTTCCTAGAATACAGACTTCTAAACGTTCTAGCCCTCACATTTTTTAAAGAGTTCTTAAAAATGTGGGTGAAATGTATTTGGAGCATATTAACACATACATCAGAAATGGTATCATGTCAACATGAAATGTAAAACAGATTTTCAATTGGTCACATTTTACACAGGAACCACGCACACAAATGGCCCCTGTGCAGGTAGAACATGGGAAGGGGACCAGGGGCCTCCCTCTCGAACCAGCCTGCTCGATGGCTTCCAGCAGGGACACACCCCCCACCCACCCAGCCTCTGACCCCAGAGAAGCAGCTGTGAGGAGGGGAGCGTCCCGGTCCCGATGAACCACCCCAGATTGGAGGGAGCGTGGGCGCTGGCACCACCCCCTGTCCACCTCACTCTTTGCAGGCGGTGGGCGTGCACTGTGCGCTGGGTTTTGGCCGCACGGGCACCATGCTGGCTTGCTACCTGGTGAAGGAGCAGGGCTTGGCTGCAGGAGACGCCATCGCTGAAATCCGACGCTTGCGACCTGGCTCCATCGAGACCTACGAGCAGGAGAAAGCTGTCTTCCAGTTCTACCAGCGAACTAAATAACAGCCTGGGCACCTTCTCCAGGCCCCTCGCACCCTGCCCCCGTGTGGGGTGAGTGGCCGGGACTGAAGGGAAGTGACTAAAGGACTCAACCCTTTAATCCAAGCCCGCCTGTGTCACCCTGTCCCCTCTCCTACGGAGAAGGCCTGGATGGCAGGCTCAAGGGTGAACACCAATCCCTCTCTCTGGGGGCGGGCCCCTCCTGCCAGCCTCTAGCCCACTGTGCTGGCCCCACAGGGTCAGGCCAAAGGATGCGTTTTCGAGAGTTGATCATTAAAGGAAGAGCTCCCGACTCTGAGTCTTAGCCGTGCTTCTCGGATGTCATATCTGCTTCATCTTGCTGAGTCCCATTGTGCCATCAACTTACACGTTGGACCTCTAAGAGATGGGAAGATGGCCTGTACCAGCCAGACGGGCTATTGGCTGTCCTGTCTCCCTAAATTCCTATCACCTTGTGCGAGAGCAGGCTGGGCTGGATAAGGTAGAGGTCCTAATGGACATCCCGATTGCCTGTGTGGACCAGGCTCGGTTAGATGCCGTGGCTTCCCCGTGGGGTGTGGGACGGTTCCTGCTCTCGAGCTCACAGCCTCCTGGGGAGGATGCCCAACCACACAGAATGCCTTCTGTGATTAAACCTGCATTCCAGAGAAAGGGAGACGTGTCCCCCTGCCACAGACCCCCATGTCTTGGCATCCAGAACAAGCCCACCCTCTCCTGGCTATTTTCACCACCGCCTACCTTCCGTGACACAACCCCAGCCAACTCGCCCTTCCCCTAAAGATAAGTCAGCCAGTCTCCCTAGTCGGAGAGTGAGAGACTGTGAGATGCCCTTCCCCGGGCTTGCCTTCTGTGTGTCGGGTAAGACGGATCAGCTCCTTCGTTTCATTCCTTCAGTCCTCACAGAGTCTGCGCAGGGGAAGAAACATGCCATTCCAGGCATCTGGCCCACAACAGGGAGACGCAGACAAGGGCAAAGACAGGTTGAACCCTTGCCGTTTGAAAATTTCTCCATCCTGCTGGGCACCCCCAATAGCATGGCCCTGTTGATGGAAACTAGCGCACCTTCCGAGGGAGAATGTGTGTGTGCTCACTTCCCATTCTTCTGAGGTCTGACCATGGAGAGATGGGAGGCTGGATGCTCTGCCCTGCCTTGACCTTCCAGGGGCCACACAGCTCACCTTCCTCCTTGCTGACCACTGTGCTTCACCACCCCACGTCCTCCGTGCCGCAGGAGAGGCACCTGCCCTTGTCTCAGTCCCCAAGGCTCTTTTGAAGGAGACAGAAAATTTTTCTAACCCCATTAAAGCCCTGTGTGCAGCCTCCATCCCCATAATTTAAGCAGGTCTCCTCTGCTTCAAGAGTTCCTTGGGGAAATAAACATATAATTATGTGCTTAAGGAAATCGCTTTTTAAATAAGTGAGAGTTGACTTGAAACGAGACACTCTGCCTTTATCCTTCCATCTACCTGGAGAAATGAGCCTAGGGTACCTTTGGGCTTCCACTCCCAACTGTTCTGCCTTCCCCTGTCCCCCCTCATCTGGATGTGTCCACCAGTGAAGGATAACGGAATAAGCATGGCCTTTCCCCCTTCGACCCTACACTGAGCGCTAGGTAAGAGGAGCAGGCTGCCTCCCACCAGAAAGAAGTCAGTCACTGCACCAGACCAGCATGCCTTACCCTCAACACCATTGATAGGGGACTGTGCTGTGCATTGCAGGGAGTCCAGCGGCTTGCCTGGCCTTTCCCCACCAGGAGCACACCCCAGCCTCCAGGTGTGACAACCAAAAGTCTATCTAGACATTGCCAGATGTCCCAGGGTGGGGGGGGAAGGGAACCAGGGTTCAGAGCATGCCCTGGTTGAGAACACCTGCATTAGACCAAATAGCCCTAAATTCAGTCATTGGTGTGCATTTCCTGTGCAAGTAGGCATGGGGACTGCATGGGTGGGGACGTGCATTCTTAGCGGGGGAGAACACACCATGTCTAGTTCCACTGCCTTTCCAAGCAAAGTATGGCAGTCGACCCCAATTCGTCAGCCTTTCCCAAGCGACAGTGAGGGAGCCACCACTGACTGTGTACTTGGGAGGGTTCTGTCCTTAACGAACTGCACCTCCTCACATCCCTGTGTTTTTACGGTTCCATGCCTGCTTTATTCTTTCTGTGTAAGCAGAGTTGTGTGCTAAAAGCAGACTTTTCTTTCTGGAAACCGTCTCTGCCTATCACCTGGGTTATGCTCCGATCATTCTTAGTTTTGTCTTCCAGAAACCTTTTGGGATGCAAAAACAACTGGGAGTCCACAGGGCAGGGCACCAGCCACACTCTGGCCTGGTTCTCCCAACTTCACTGACCCTGCAGGAGATCCGGGGGTCCTTGTGCTTGCAGATCCCGTGACTGCCTTGCAGGTCTTGGGCTCCAGCACACTACTTTCTGCCATGTGAGGCTAGGAGCCCACATTTGCTATGGCACTGAGGCTTTGCCCACACCTCCCTTGGAGCTGGTGTGATCGCTGCCCGGACAGCCTGGTCTTGCAGCTGTTCGTAATGTGTGAGGATGCTGTCCACACGGGGATCACTCCTCATCTTGCTCTGGCAGAGGCCTGCTCATACACACGCTCCCATCTGTCCCCCTACCCCCCCACACACACTATCATCACTATCAGTCTCCCCAGGACATTGATGAGCGGGGATCTGATCCAAACCATACACCATTTCCCAGAATGAGCTGCTCCAGTTGCCAAGCTTCAAAGCAAACCTGCTGTTGTTCTGTACCTTTGCCATTCTTTCTGAGAAAGAAACTAATTTGATCTCAAAGGAGTACTTTTGTCATGAAACAATGGCAATTACCACTAATGTGTTTCAACTTTGTCCTGACTGTACATTGCTTACCTACATGATCATAGTAATTTGCACCATTTAGGAAGCACTTCCCATGTAGCAGGTGTTTCACATACATTATATCATTTTATCCTTACAACTTTGCAAGGCAAGCATTTTCCCCTTTTTATATGTGAGGGACTGAGACATAGAGAAATGAGCACCATACCCAGATCCACACATTTGTACTGAAGGAGCTGGAATAGATCCAAGTCATTCTCAGCAGTCAGTTCATAGCAGACATCCTGCCTGCCAGTGCTGCCTCTGACCCCAGTGACATGGAACTCTGGGTATCCACAGTCAGAGCTTGGTCTCATGGGCTGTCTTCATCTGCATATCCTCAAAGGACTACCCTCCTTATTCTCTTGCGAGATGAGAGACCAACACTGCATCTAGTGCTGAAATCAGTCGCACCTGACTTATGTGCTCTGCTTTAAAATGTGGCCTGAGACTGGAAGGCAAAAATAATGAAACCTGGACAAGCCACTGTCGCATTGCAGGCTAAACCTCCACCAGTAGCGAAAGCATCCAATATTGGGCACTGGTTTGAGTCTCAAGCCCATGCAGCTCTCTGCTAATGGCCTGGGAAGGCAGCGAAGGAGGTTCCAAGTCCTTGGGACCCTGCAACCACATAGGAGACCCAGAAGAAGCTCCTGGCTCCTGGCTTCAAGCTGAGCCCAGCTCTGGCTGTTGCAGCCATTTGGGGAGTGAAACAGCAAATAAAAGATACCTCTCCATTGCTCCTTCTCTGTAACTCCATCTTTTAAGCAGAAAAATGAACAAATATTTAATATGTATATAAATATGATTAAACCAATGCACCAGGGTACTAACTCCTGACTCAGAGCACATGACTGTCACCCCCCGGTATGACATTCTTGAGGCACATGTGACTAGCACCAAGCACTAGAAAATGCCCTTTATAACCTGATGAACTACCAAACACCCTAAGACCACATTGACTTCGTTGTAAGCTGAGGTTTTCATGCATGTCAGGCACTGTGCCAAGTTCTTTCCAGACATTATCTCATTCAACCCTCCAAGGAAAAAACCATCCTGTGGACCAAGTCCATTACAAGAGCCAGTACACAGGTGAGTAAACTGAGACCCAGAGGGGCACATGGTAGAGTGGAATTCAAACTTGGAGCTGTCTACAAACTTCCCTCCTGAGATCAGAGAGGAGACAGTTGTTGCAATTAGAAAATAGGTAAGAGCCTTTTGTGTTGGCAGCTGCCAGGCATTCAATCTCACAAGGCGGCCAGCAGAGCTGTGAGATGGCTCGGCTTCCCTCAGTTCAGCCCACGCATCCATCAGCACAGCTCTGACCTGGGAGTGGGCTGGCCACCAACTCAGCCGCCATCCATCACAGGCTTCTGCCTCCAGCTCCGATGCCATGGCCCCGTTGGCTTAGACATGAGCTCCCACGTCCTTCTTGCGTTGCCTCAGGGATGGCCTCCAAGAACTGTGCATTTAAAGGCCTGATCGAGAGAACTGCCAAGTAAGCGGAAATTTGAAAAATCTTTGGGCCTCATCCATTCCTGAGAGTTGACAACTTACTTGCAACCTTGAGAACTGAGTCTTTTGTGGCTATAAATTGCTTACACAGCTCCAATCTCTGTGTGTCTGTGTGTATGTCTTTCTCTCTCTCTCTCTCTCTCTCTCTCTAGCCACGCTATTTTTCCCTTCCCTTATTCTGTCCTCATGAATATGTGCCTCTGAAACAAGTTGGTGACATCACTTCCGAATTTTTAATATGTGACATTCTGTGTGGCAGTTTTGGGATTTCCCCCACACACACACACACACAGGTTAAGAATAAACACAATGTGGTATCTTCCTTACCAACAGACACTGAGTCAGTGACTCTGCCCCAGAGACACGGTGACACCGTGGAAAATGACCAACAATGAAGCCATCCCACGGTGACACCACACACTGCTCAACTAGGTTTCATGGGCCCTTACGGTCTCCCAACCTTAGCCAACATTGATTTATGTGTTTTCTGCAGGCATTCTTCACTGAAGTAGCCAAGGCTTGGTGCAGGCTAGAGCTATGGAATAGAATTAAACAAAGTGGCACACTGGCATCAAACCCACTGGCAGAACCACTGTTAAAAAAATAGATTTATTAATTTGAAAGGCAGAGTCCCAGAGAGAGAGGAAGATGCAGAAAGAGATCTTCCATCTGCTGATTCATTGCCCAAATGACAACAACCGTGGACTGGCCCACGCCAAAGCGAAGACCTGGAGCTTCTTCCAAGTCTCCCACATGGGTACAGGGCACAGCACATGGTCATCCCCCTCTGCTTTCCCAAGGGTATTAGCAGGGAGTTGGATTGGATTCAGAGTCCCTGGGACATGAACGTGTGTTCACATGGTGATGGATGCTGGTATCACAGGCAACACACTACACCACAGCATCGGCCC